TTTCCTGAATATCAAAATTGTTAAAATTATTAATCTCTAAATTACTATGTTCTAATAACTGTTGTGGTAGAGGATCTAGAGATATATGTCGGTTGTTGCTTATAAGCAGTTTATCTTCACTATAATTAAGTATCGATGTTTGAAAGGTGCCATTCTTGACTGTGACTACAGCAGTTGGTGATTTCAAATCTTTGCGCCAACAGAATTCGTTGCAAAGGTACTGCCCGTCTATGTAGTTGGTTTTGACGGTAATAAGCTTTTCACATCGAGGTTCAATGCTAAGTGTTTTCACGGGATAATTGGTATAGATCGGTATTTCACTATTAGAAGTTCTTAAAATTTTGTTTTTTAGGTCAATGGCGCATCCTAATTCCTGGAAAAGATCCATGCCTATAATTCCTATAAATTTTGGATCGAAATCGAATACTAAAAACTTATGAAAATTGTCCGTATTAAATTGGGGCGGTAAAGGTAAATAAGCCACATGTTCATGTTGGGTACTCGCATGTGCGGTTCTTACTATAAATGGTTCATATTCTACGCAGTATTCAAAGATTGTATCTTTTAAGGCGTTAGGTGATATCATGCTATGAGTTGCACCAGTGTCTAATAAAAATTTACCTTTATATTCTGGAAGGTCTATATACGGGAGACGCCCTTTACCATAATTATTTAACTGAACCGTATAAATTAACTGTGGTCCTCTTGCCCTATGGTCTCGGGAAAATCCTGGTAGTTTGATTGTCCCATAGGTACCTCCGAGTACTCATGTTCCGAATATTGTGTATTATAGCACTCACCTTGTTCGTAGTAGGGGTCGTAGTTGGTCTCGGTATGGTCCTCATTTGTAGTATAAAAAAAATCTTGCGTAAGATTGGGCTTAACGGGCTTGTCTACAGACCGCATTGTGACATCGGATACCTTCTGCATAGGTTCCACCTGTGGGTGTGGTAGGTTTTGCTGCTGTCTAAAATTTCCTGAACTCCTAAAATTACCAGAAGTCCTAGGTGTCACATTACCTGATGGAGCCTTGTTTTTCCATGGGACCATGGACTGGACCCACTGCTGTCTCTGCTCAGGAGAGCTATTATTATTACGTTGTGTTGTGCTAGAATCGGGGAGCCTATACTGGGGTGTGTTGAACCTAAAAGGATGACTAAGTTGATTTGTAGGCAGATTCATCCTAGGTGTTTCTTTTGGTTTGACTTGCATTTGAGGAGAGCTTAAGTTATTATTAAATTTATTATAGGCTAATCTCGCTTCCTCTTGTCTAGCACTGACTATGGCTTCTTCTAAAGTTGTAGGTTTAGTTATACGAACGCCAACGGACACATGAAAATCTAAGTTATTGGTATATTGGTCTATTACCATGCTTTCGTAATACGATTTGTCGCTGTGCTTACCCACCGATTGTAGCGTGTCTAGAATATCTCTCAAGCGTTTGCCAAATGTCTCTGAATCTTCGCTTTTATTGCGGCGCACACGCGTGAGTTCCTGCATTACTTGGATTTCGTTTCGTGGTTCGCCTAGTCTACGTATTAACGCGTTTTTTATAGCCTGCCAGGTGTCGAGTGACTCTTCATACGCAACGGCATCAATCGCGGTACCGCTCAGCCTACTCTTGATGAGACAAATAAACGCCGGGTTCTTTCTAGCATTCTCGTCAAGTAATCCAATAATACCTTCTATCTCGCGTATGAAATAATTAAGGGTCTTAGGGTTACCGTCATACTTGGGCATAAGATCCCTGACGAATTTTAAGTTGGCAACGTCTGCGGCTTCCATCGCCATTATTTTTATTTATACGTGTCTGAGTTACGCTACTGCCTATACCTCAATATCAATATAGCGTGATGATAACGCTAAAATTGTAATAATACACTAAAATGTTAATTACTAATACAAATGAAAGTCTATCGCGATTATAGCACAGAGACAATCACAGTAACACGATATGCGTACATACATGTAATATTATACGACAGGAAATATAGCACAGGAGCTGGGTGAACGATTTGTACTCACCCTAGAAACCTCTGCATCTCCAGTCGGGTCTTGTAGAACAGCAGGACTCCCAATACTCCGGAACTCCCACAGGATCTCGTCGCTCGTAGATTCGTATAGTTCGGATCGCGAAGATAACGATGGATATCGTTCACTCTATTAGGAGAGTTATATTCTAGCTCGAGTGTCGCGATCCTACCGACTGCGCCAGTTAAGTTACGGCGATCGAGAAATTAATTAAAAAGAATTTAATTTTAATGTTTATTGTTACAATGGTTCTACAAGACTGATTATAATAATAAGTAATATCTAATTCTAACTTATTGCTAATTATGCACTTTTGGCTACACGTGCTGATCGTCCGGAACTTGGTCAGCAATCATGGGTGCGGCGCATGTCCATTGATTGCTTAACTCTCTGTATGTGTATTATATGTACGTACGATGATGTAAAGGCTAGTCAGAGAAGTCTAATTTTGTTCAACTTCTTTAACTAATCCAACCAGCTGAATTAGATTTGACATAAAATGTGTGTGTGAAACCATATTAGTATTTTTAAAGCAGTTAAGACAACAAACACGGATTTAATAGGTAGCAAATTCCAGAGAGCAATTGTATGATATATTCCCAAACCGTAATAAGCTACAAAAATTGGTTTTAAATATTATCAAAATCCTACTATTTGAACATAACTCATTATAATATTAATACTATATCTACTATATAAAAATAAGTCGGGTTTTCTTTCCTGACGCGATAACTCCAGAACGCGCGAACCGATTTCCGAACGGTTTTGCATTCTTTGGAAAGGTCTCGGGCTCCGTGAGGTTATAGCAAAGAAAATTCACTAATCACCAAACGTAATGTTACACAAAACGAAGCCATCTGGTGGCGAAACGGAGTTCGCCGGGTTTGCTAGTGTATGATAAATATTTACTGGCAACTACCCTATTCTTTGTAAAATGACAGAGATGGCACGATATTTAAATACAACTTAAAATAGAGTAACCTTTCAGTATATGGGCGATAAACAACAATGGATTTAAAATGCTTCTATTTTTCTTTAGCTTCAAAAACGATAGTGATTAAAATTGTGGAAATGCAATAAAACTGTTGATTGAAATGCGATTAATATCGATTAATTAGCAAACTCAAGTTTATGACTAATTTTCTTGGCAATGGCATTGAAATTTCGTCAATAATAAAGTAGGTACAAAATTTTGTAGCTTTATTGCCTGATTATTTTCTTATATAATCTAATAATATTATCACGGGGGGAAATCTCCAGAAGGTACCCATTTTTTTGGAAAAACATGCTCTCTTGGATTTTCACCCTTTTAAAACCACATTGGAGGTCACCATCAGCACCTACGAAAGGGGTACCGGGTGCGGGGGTCCTCTAGATAACCAATTCCGAAGCCAATTGAAGGCAACGCCAGTTACGGCACATCCTTAGAACCTAAGGGGTAACCGGGGCTCCGGCTCGACGTGCAGGAGAAGTAACGGGGTGGTTTTTAGTCAGTAAGATTCTGACACTCCCTCCCGCCTCACCTAGGCGGGAGCAGTCATTCGATGATTTTCCCTCCTTAAAAAAAAGGGTACTTGATAAGTCAGGGCGCTTACTCTTGAATCCAATTCCGATTGATCGACATTGGTATTGCGAAATTTCGTACTCTTGACTTGCAACACTAGCGCCCATTGCATCCGTATTGCGTGGATATTGAATGAACTAAATGGTATTTAGTTTGCCTTTATATTCCGTACTTTGACTGCTACTTTAACAGCTACGATTGTGGTTGTATAGTGTTGACATGCATTGGATTTGGATTGAAATTGCATTGACATTGAGATTGTTTTCAAGAGTAAGCACCCTGGTATAATCTAATGATGTTTTAATCAATCCATTTTTCTTTTGGTTGTATTTAATGGCCGCTAATTACAAGCTAAAATAACGACTTATTTATAGGTATCTTTTATTACATATGTAGGCATGTTTACAACTTTCAGTTTTTGTTGTTTACGTTTCACTTTCAATGCATGTGCCAACTGCCAACGTATGACATGACTTTCATATTCTCAGAGACGTGAAATGTTCTCGATACTTTATTATACACCTATATATGAATGTGTAGGTACTTACTTATAGATTTTGCTTATAAGTATTTTTGTAGAGATGCATGTACCTGTTGATAAAGGGCTGCAACTAGTTTGAATGCAATGATTACATTTGTTACATTAACCGACAATTATAAATATTAGGATTAGAATGACCAAAGTAAAGATCTTAAGTGTGGGAGAGCCATGCTTCGGCACGAATGGGCCGGCTCGACCGGAGTGATACCACGGCCTCACAGAAAACCGACGTGAAGCAACGCTTGCGTTGTGTTTCGTCGTGTGAGTGAGGTTACCGGAGGCCCAATTACCTTCCCCTTCCCTAATCTCCCCAATTCCTGAATCCCCAACGATCCTCAAACTCCTAATCCCTAAAAGGCCGGGGCATCGCATTTGTAACGCCTCTGGTGTGCCAGGTGACCATGGGCGACGCCGATTGCTTACCATCAGGTGATCCGTTTGCTCGTTTACCGGCTTATGCTATAAAAAAAGAATAATATTTTTATTATGGTAGCTAGCTGACCCGGCAAACTTCATACCGCCTAAAATTATTTTTTCTTACTTTTTGAACCTTCCTTGGACTTCCACGAACATCTTTAAGACCAAAATTAGTGTCAAATCGGTTCAGCCGTTCTCGAGTTTTAGCGAGACTAACGAACGAATTTTTATTTATGTAGATATTTTACACTATCTGACTATTTAATTTAGTTGCTGTTAGCTTAACTGACACATAGTTCAAATCATCCGTTAGTGAGACTAAACTAACAGTAATTGTCAATAATGTTAATAACTACGGAATTCATAACCTATTTACTGATTTTGCCCGACTTGACAAGTGAATTTAAGTCCTAAATAGACTAAGCTAAAATGCATTTCTTGTTTCAGAAAACCTTTTGGGCAGCTCCCAGTGCACATGGGGACCGTCTTATTGGTGCAGCAACTTCAGGTAAATACAAAATATTAAACAAGTTATAATTACCAACATATTATGTAGTTCCGTGGTGCTTGGCGACTGGGCTTCTCCCAGTTGTACAGTCTCTTTTTCTGCCTTCAAGCTTAATTCATTCTGTCTCCTGCAGTAATTCACCGAGGGAAGTGGCAACTATCGCTTATTTTTCTTCTTCTTTTATAATATCTTCTGTTTCACTTCGTTGCGGGAACCAAGACAGTTATTCATATCCATGGGACGCGCCGGACTTCTTTATGATTGTGTTTCCTGTAGATCCTGGCTTACAGGAGTTGCAGTGGGTTTAAGAGGATGTGGCGGGCTTGTCCCATTAAAAAAATATTTATTTATTATTTTTTGAGAATTTACTATTTAATTATTTATTATTTAATAAAAAAGTGTGGAAGACAAATCCTCCGCTAACGTCACCATTGACCCCCATGGCGGTTAAAGTGTTAAATAAGTTTTGTGCCAATAAATTAAAATTACATAAGGACAACAAACACTACTGTATATTGTGTCTAGTTTAAATGAAGGATAAAATAATGATTTTATTACTGTTTTTTTTTTAATTCTCAGTAGTAGGACGGAGTTGAATGGACGGAATTGTGCCCGGTATATGGCAATAGACTGACTCCTTATTACATAAATTAGTGAAAAATGGGTGTTACATTGTACAGTGGCATTAAGTGCCATATCCTCTCCAGGGATAAAAGGCGTGATGTTATATTACGTTATGTAAAATAAGGATAAAATAATAATATTTTGATCCCGCGACCTTGGGCTTCAATTAACTATGTAAATCAGTTATAATTAATAAACTATATCCTGTGTGGGTTTATTATTCATGCTAATATTATTATGATTCACATTTTGTTATTGTGGATGTGGCTTCGGTCTACATTGGTACTTTTTGATTTTTTTTATGGCATAAGCCGGTAAACGTGCAGACGGATCACCTGATGGTAAGCAATCGGCGTCAGCCGTGGACACCTGGAACACCAGAGGCGTTACAACTGCGTTACTGGCCTTTTGAGATTAGGAATTTGAGGATTGTTAGGGGATTCAGGGATTGGGTCGCTAGTATTAGTATAAGATGAGTTCGATCGAATATTATGTAACAAAAATGTACAACTAAAGTTATTTTTTTAATAATTCTTCAAATAGAAGATCAGGCAACTGCCTAAGTAACACCTCTGGCTAGGTGCAAAGTGCGTATAAAGACTAGCCACATGTTCATTTACTATAATTATACGTACACCTGAGTCTGATTACTACCGGCATTGTGAATTTCCATTCAATTCATATTTGTTTGTTTATTTTACTTTCGCGTCGTAGCTGACCGATGATATTTTTATGTCTAGAGACAAGACGCTAATCCACGCGATTAGGATTTTTTTTTCGTTTGACCACGAAGGTCAAACCACGCTAATAAAAAGTTAATTAATTACCTATAAAATATCAACAATTCACAAATTGCTCAATGTTTCATTATAAATTGTAGAATCCGTTATAAGAATTGTTGAATTAAGCCTCAGTGCGGTACTATGGCCGGATCGAATCGCCATAATTATGTTTTCGATAGCAAAATTCAAATTTTGCATTTGTGGAGATATAAGCAATAGAATGACAACTCACCTAAGCAGACTGTATTACAGTGTCATCAACTTTTCACTTTTTCTTGCATTCGAATCAAAATAATATTAGGAAAGAAAAATACGAGCATGGCAAGAAAGTGATGAATGTTGATGAAGCGAAAGAGGCATGCCCTAATCATGACGTCCATTGTGTCTATTTATTCCACTGGGAGTTATACGCTATTATACTTAGTTGTTATTTGTAGGATAAAAATAGCTTAGGACTGTATGCCCAAGTTATTTTTCCGATATATCTACGCTTATAGATACATCTGTAAATAGTTATAGTCAGTGTCAATTGTTACAGGCAAAAAGTATACTTTTTGTTACATTGTATTTATAAAATTATATTATATAAATACATTTATATTAAAAGAACAACATTTAATACGTATTATTTCCTATTAGGGTTGTCGCTATATCTAATAATAACAAGGTATAATAATGGTGCTTAAAATAATTGGATACACTGTTACTATAAGAAAAACTCAAAATCTAAACTTCAGGAAATTTAAGCCAGGTTGTCAGGTGTCATTACATAAAAGTATAGGGCCTTACGAGTGGAAACTTCTAGAAAATGTAATCGATATCTCCAAACAATAATAGTGATTTATAAGAACAATTGTACAGTACAAATTACATTGCATAATAAGGTACTACAGCCATAGCAAACCGCAGTTATACGCAGACCACTAGCTTGCAACAATTCATTTATTACTTACTATCGATTCAATTCGATTCTCGGGTACAATCGATTGTAAAACTATTTTTTACATAACTATCGTTGTGCAAGCCGTTCGTTGTCTAGTTACATTAGTGCCTACCTTATAAGCGAATAATTCGTAGCGAATTAATTTCAACATGTTTTCATTGAAATTACTGCGTATAATTCGGGTTTTGGTACGGTCATTGAAATTTTTTTATCTACCTAGATAGGTAGAACAACGAAATTTATAAGAAAATTCATATTAAACTAAATAGCTGTTGCCCACGACTTTGTCCGCGGAGAATATAATTTCATTATTTTTAAATTTCCAAAATAATAGTAGCCTATGTTACGCCTTAGTACATCATTTACCTGCCAATAAAATTCAGTCATTCCAAAGGTTAGCTACTATTAGACAAACAAACAGACAGACAGACAAAAATTGTAAAACAAATGTTATTATGGTATGTGTATCCTATGTATTTTCATATGCATGTAGTAAAAAGCGGTTAATTTAATATTAAAAACGGACACTCCAATTCCATGTACCTATCTGTATATATTTATATACTTAGGTAGGTACCTACCTATACTATAACCATTGGTATATTGAAATCTTAATTGGAACAACATCATAATACAGTAATTTAGATTATTTGGTGATTCAGATTAAATATAGATTAGATATATAATAATACACGCGATTGTTTTAGATTAGATTTCGTCCGACATATTCGATTTTTAGAACATCTCTTAATTATATTTTCTAATAATATTTTAGTCAACTTAGTACTTATGTGTCTAATATAATGTCCGCAATTTAAAACATTTAAGACTGCCTCGATGGCCGAGTGGTCGCAAGTGCGACTGCCGGGCATGGGGTCTTGGGTTCGATTCCCAGGCCAGGCAAAGTACTACATGGTTTAAAAAAAATTTCATTAGTAGCATGGAGTCTGGAAATGTGCCCGGTATATGGCAATAGGCTCATCCCCTATTACATGGGACTCATAACATAAATAGTGAAAAGTGGGAGTTACATTGTACAGTGGCATTAAGTGCCGTAATGGTCACCTCTGTTTGCGCCTTCGGGGATAAATGGCGTGATATTATGTTATGTCAACTAAGTATGTATCTGATGTAATTTCCGTAATTTAAAACGTTTAAATGTTGACGTTTAAATGTATATATATAAAAGTGTATGTCTAAACTTGTTCTATTGTTATTGAAACAAAAGAACAAAGTTGTATATTTTTCTTATCAGAGAATGGAATTTGTGTTTTGCATATTATCTCTATAACACATTACGCTTGGTAGAGTTCACTGATTGTGATTAATCGACATAAGAATACAAAGAATACCTCTAAAGGTGCTCCCTCACCAAGAGCATTCACGTGTAATGTAACATTATAAATTCGACTTTGAGCAGAATATTACAATAATACCTCCCTGACTAACGAGCATTTGCGTGTAAAGTAAAATATAGATTCGACTTTGAGCATTTCATAACAAGATGTCAGACATTGATGATACAAGTTGTATCGAGATATTACACATTGTATCATTACAAGGTGCGCATTGTAATGCTCGGTTCTCCTCCTTCACTGATGTAATGCTCAGATCTGTAACGTTACATTACACGCGAAACGCGAATGCTCCTGGTGAGGGAGCACCTTTAGGTACCCAACCTCGTTGGTAGAATGTCCATGTTCGCCGGCGCGGTTGGCACTTTTTGTGTGATCCACAAATTGTTGTTCTGGGTCTGGGTGTCATGTGTATGTGAACTTGTATGTTTGTAAATAGGAGAAAATCCTAGTCTCAGGCAACATTTTTATAAAAAAAAACTAAGTAAGAAGTCTGAGTTTTTATTTCAAAGAATTCACAGTAATAAGCACACGTTCTAAACTCCATCGTAGTGAATCGAACATAATATGTATATATTTAGATTTTTAAAAAATCCAAACATAAATGTACCAGGTTTGTTGTTTAACTGAAACCTCGATTAGGCGTACATTTAATTGTAAGCATTTACCATCTGTATCAATACAATAATCAAACCAAGGATTTGTATGGTAGTAGCATTATACTGTTTCTGTTTTTGGTCTGTTGATTGAAAAGTAATGAAGTTTATAAATGAAATAAGTTTTTATTTTGGTGTACTTATAAAGGAACACATCTTAAATATCCCAAGGAATTAGGCAAAGGTACTGTCTACATTAAATTAGGTACCTATATTTTGTCAGTTCAATTATGAACACTATGTAAGAGAAGCTAAAGTCTAAACTCTAAAGCCATGCCATTAACCAGGTACAATTTGAATATCCCTCCAGTTACAAACAATACAGAAATTCACTAATTTATCTAACTCAGGGACCGATGTCCTCGTTTCCGTGCACCGCTGGGCATAGCTTCTCCTATTACAAGCCATTGAGCTTGAAAAAATGTATCTTATTCTTATTTATTTCTTCCACAGCACCGGTCGGGAATGCAAAGCGACCCACCATTGTGTGTCCAAAGTATGGCCGAACACGAACTTTGCCGAAGACACAGACAGCATCTGCAAGATCTGTACCGACATGGTGCAGCAGGCTAGAGACCAGCTGCAGAGTAATGAGACACAGGTTAGTAAATATTGTATAGAAATTCTTACGATGCTAACTAAAAAAGTATATACGGGTTTTATTATAGTAGTGAAAACTTAAGGTGTTTCTCTGTGTAAGTAGGTAGCATGTGTTAAATTCGGTCTTCAGGGGCTTTCTATCTTTATAAAAAGGGTCATATACTATTTGTATGTTTGTGTATAAAATATTTCCCAATAGTTAAATGAGAATAGAGACCAATTAGAAACTTTTTTCAAGATTCGTAAAGCACTTTTGGCAAATGACTTGTGACATAGTACTTTAGTTTTTAAAAATAGGTTTTAAACTACCAAAACGTGTAACAATAATTTGTATTGAATCAAATACGAGACGTCTGCGTAACAATTTAATAACTAAATTATACGAAAGATGACAATAAATTTCATCAGTCTATTACAGATCCAAATTAATCTATAACCGTGAAGGTACTTATATAAAACATGATGATTTTATAAAAGAAGCAATTTCTTCAATACCTTCTAGCTATAAATGTCTGTGATGAAATTTCGATAACAGTTTTCAATGATGATAAATCTATTGTATATACATATATATCATAAAACAAAGTCGTGTTAGTTACACTATTCATAACTCAAGAACGGCTATATCGATGTGGATGAAAATTGGTGGAGAGGTAGCTTAGAGCCAGGATACAAACATAGGATACTTTATATCATTTTTTTTTAACAAAATCACGAATAGCTTCGTTGTAAAACGTGATTGCGCGTACGAAGTCGCGTTTTTTAACAATGAACATTTTAATTTTCATCATAAATGTAGGACATTTTTTCGTCAACGCTCACGTGACCGGTTATCTTAATACAAACAAAGGTTGAACTTACACCTTGGCGTGAGTAAGTCATTGTCCGATAGTGGAGTACATTACATTGTTGTTATACATACCCTACTATTGTACTCTGTTAATAATGATGGGCCAATGACTGCTGTTTTGTAGGTGCAGATTATATTGTTCTATTTGGGCCCTTATGTATAGTGGTACTTACTCCAATCTGTCAAATTTATTTATTGGATATTTTACTTTATGTCAGTACCATAAAGTTGAAGATATAATACAGAAACTTGTCAGGTCTGTCTTCTCAGTCTATCGTGCTGGCCACTGTACCTAATTCTTTTTTGTATTTATGGGTGTATCTTTCGGTTGGTTTCGTAGTCAGATAGATTAGTTAATTGTAGTGATTTCGGGTTTTTCTGTTTCTATATCTCATTGGTATACCCTTTAAACTTAACATTCTAAATAATTGTGTATATTAAAGTGTGGCATATAACATATATAATGAATAACTCATAGTAACTCTTTTAAAGTTTTAAACTTGATTTACAAGAAAATCGCTGAAATATTGATTAAAACATTGTTTAATTATAATTGTAAATGAAACAACCAATACATGTTTTCATTATTTTTGCTACCGTGATAAGAATGACCTGAATTCAACCATTTGTACCGAACTGGATACATACGTATTATAAAATCAACAATGACGCTACTGTATTGTTTAAAAACATTTTATTCCACATCTGGGCAAACTAACAATAAATGATAAGTCATTCATTGCGTAGGTTAGGTAAAAAAAGTAGCGTTAATTAGTTTCATACAATTCAATCATATATCTGATTATAGGCAGACTTTTAGTTTATAATCAAAATCAGTACCTAACACACACATGCATAATTCAATTTAATTCCGACCGATAGTTTAATATAATATGGCTACAATAAATATTTAAAAAAGTAATCATGCCTATGGTTTCAGATTATGGTCTCTGCATTTATCGTAAGTTTGTTATGTGTATATCCTGTTTAGAGTATTATCATTTAGCGTGGGTTTTGTTATTTTATCTGTGGCCATGTCGCCATTATGTCTGCATCGTAGATAATCTATGGTTAATCGTTCTAATTATGAATTTTTATTTTGTTTGAAAGTAATCTGTGTTATCTTATAGCCGGACATTCCATAATATCAGATAAAGAAAACATACGTTATTTGATAGTAATTATTAATATTTTGGTGCTTCTTAGCCATAGTTCTATTAGCTTTCTCAAAGACTTTCTTGATACAGAAAGTCATAGAGTATTTTTGTTCTATATTAGTTATTTTGGTATTTATATTTATTAGTTAGTGTATTGTAGTTAAATGCTTTAATAACATGTGGGTAACAAGTAATATAGTAAGATTATTATAATAATCGAACAGTAATGATTCTATTTATTAAATCGCCTATCACATTTATACAATGTTTTCAGTACTTTTTCCAAAATCAACTTGACACACATATGTCCAAATACTCAAACGCCACTCAACTTTAAGTCGCATTTAAATATAGTTCTGTCACTACAACTTCTTTGCAAAATGACAGAGATGGCACGATATTTATTATACACTCTTTTCAGTATTTTTTCTAAAATCAACTTATCACACATATGTCCAAATACTCAAACGCCACTCAACTTTAAGTAGCATTTAAATATAGTTCTGTCCCTACAAATTCTTTGCAAAATGACAGAGATGGCACGATATCAAATCGAATCAAATATTGAAGTACAACAAAAAATTGAGTAGCCTTTCAGTATTTGGCCGATAATATTGCAGTTTAAATTAGTTTAAATGACATTTTAACTTCATAACCTTTTGACTCCAATAGACTTATACCGAAATATTTTTCATTACAGGAAGAACTAAAGGAAGTTTTCGAAGGATCATGCAAACTAATCCCAATCAAAGTGGTGGCCACCGAGTGCATGAGGTTGGCTGATGACTTCGTTCCCGAGCTGGTGGAGACCCTGGCTTCTCAGATGAACCCTCAACAAGTCTGTTCGGTCGCTGGACTCTGCAACAGCGCTAGGATCGATGAAATGCTTGAAGAATTTGTAAGTAGCTATTTAGTACTGATATGTAAAGATTATGTCGTCTATTGTAGCTGTCACAAGAAACCGGGGTTTTACAGTTTCTCGAATTTTTCCCTATTACATGGGATTTGTTAAGTTCCTTGTAAAACATGGATATCCACTTTTAATATGTGCAATAGGCACTGCCTTCACTGTAAGGGCATTCTATGAAAAAATAACTATGCCTGCTAATGCCCTGCATTTTTACACGACACATTACCCATGCTTCTAGTGAATTTCCCATTTTTTTTATTAAATATGAAGCTTTGTCTCAGCAATTAGATGTACAAACATGAGCCACAAGAAACAATAATATAATTAGGTGATTAGATACAGCTGTTCTTTATCGTATCACGTACGTACATTCGGTAATATTGTTTTATTTACATGCATACCTATATTGATTGATTTATTATTGATTTGTTTATATTATGGTACGCGACTTCATTAGTTATTGGACAGAACCTTGACAAAAGCCAGGTGGAAAGTACTCTTACCGTATACGAGTATGCTCGTATCATGACTAGATGGATGAATATGTTGGAAGCTCAAATATTATTTACATTCATACATAACTTCACGCCTGTCTCCCATGGGGGTAGGCAGAGACTATGGAACACCAATTACTACGATTCCTACATACCTCTTTCGCTTCATCAACAGTCATCAAATATTTTTTATCCACATATATCAATCTAATATTATAAATGTGAAAGTTTTTTTGTTTGGATGTTTGTCCGTCAATCACTCTGAAACTACTGAATGGATTTTGATTAAATTTGGTATACAGGCAGGGTATGGGCTGACTTAGGTGATAGGATATTTTTATCCCGATTAAATGCTAAAAGCTGGGATAAAACAGGAATCATATTCTACGCGGACAACAGCTAGTCCTTCAGTAAACAGATACTGTAAAAATTCTACACCTTGGCAATTCTTATACAAAATGTAAAGAAGGATCGTAGATATTAGTCGATTATGTAGAAGTCGATAGTCGACTCTGTAATCTATTATACCCAGGCCACGTGAGACAAGCGTAAGTAGGTACTTATGTATGTAAAACTAAGCACAAAGTAACACATGTCTTATTTCTTTGTTCTTTGTGGTTTTAAATATAAGTAAGATACGCACTTTATACTGACCCGGTTGTGTGACAATGATGAACTTAATGCGTCATTATCGAGATTATCTACATTTTAGTACATTTATGTATGTTAGAGTGTAAACATATCTATTACAAATGGAAGTAGTTAGACAGATTTTAATACATTTTGATGATGGAATGACATATTGCTTGCTTATACAATTTGAATTCAAACTATTTGAGTAGAATAATGTCTATATTTCTTTGGCTAGCATGGAGATTGCAAGGCAGTGAGGCATTTACATTATGTCACCAAAATGATAGGTACAATAAAGCATATAGGGCCGAAATTATTACTCAATTATAGACATAGTAATTATAGACTGCCTCGCTGGCCGAGTGGTCGCAAGTGCGACTGCCGGGCAGGGGGTCTCGGGTTCGATTCCCGGGTCGGGCAAAGTATTACTGGGTTTTTAAAAAAAATTCTCAGTAGTAGCACGGAGTCAGGAATTGTGCCCGGTATATGGCAATAGGCTCACCCCCTATTACATGGGACTCATAATATAAATAGTGAAAAGTGGGTGTTACATTGTACAGTGGTATAATGTGCACCTCTGCCTACCCCTTCGGGGATAAAAGGCGTGATGTTATGTGTATGTTATAGACATAGTTTCTGTGAAAAATCGATCCAGAGGTTGGACTAGAATGAAAAACAGTATATTACGCCGATTAAGATCGATTATTAATTTTGATAACCTAAAACTATGATAAAAAACATGAAGATTTACCGAAATGTTCAAACAATACTTACCTAAATATTCCGTATATACATTTAGCGAAGTAATAACCTTGTAAATTTGTCGTAAGTAAGTTGTTTACGACATTATTATCAAGTTATCGCGATTACATCAAACGCGGCGACCTTCCATCACGCTATGTTTGTAAATATTGCAATTTATTGTTTCATTTTCAAAGCCCTTTTTCAGATTTATAAAATAAAATTATGTGATTTTATTCAGATTTTATTTTTAATCCAAAAGTATGGACCTTGAAAGGTTTGTGGCAATAAAACCTTATTCAAAAATGCAAAAGAAATATATAATTTTATTCCCATTTAAAGAATTTTCGCACATTCTAATCATTCAGAATGTCTTTATTGAAATTCCTAGAACATTTTTCACAACTACTTGCACTGAAAAATGTATCTTGTTTTCTTACATAAATAAGGTTGTTAATCCCACGTTTATTGTTACAGAATACTCAGTTGAGCCTGCGTGTGGAATGCAACAACTGCCAACGTACAGTCGGTGTGCTGAGGAAGAAGTTCGATGCCACCAGCTATGAAGATTTCCTTGTTGGATTACTGCAGGTAGAGTAATTTCTAAGATTTTTGTTACTTATGTAGATAGAACTTAGTTATGATCTAATTAAAAAGATATCCTTAAATTCTCCATTGGAATCTACCTACACCTTCAAATATTTAGTAAGTAATTACTAAGTAACCGATTGTAAATTAATCTCTTAATGATTTTGACAAACTGTCGTCAATGCTAATAACAACCATGTACCCAGTACATAAGACTTCAATTCCCCTATCCGCAGATTTGTCGCAAGATGGACTCACTCTCGGACTCTTGTTCCATGCTAGTCTTCAAGTACTACGAGAACATTCTGGAAGCTTTGAAGAAGGACCTGACAGGCCAGAGCGTGTGCCACGTGAGTGGACAATGCTCATACAAGTTCCATCAACACGACGAGTTCACTTTCCCTGCCGAGTTCACTGACTTCAAACCTACTGAGTAAGTCATTTTTGTATTTAGAATGTTCTGAAATATATGTGTTTTGTTATGGTTGGGTAATTGTTGATCTGTCGCAATGCAATCTTTAAATAAATATCTTGTTTAGATAATAATTGATGTGAAATATACTGAAAATTATAATTTATGTGTACCACACTCGTAAACTGTAAGAGGCTGCTCGATCAGTTTCAAGCCATCTCGGGGCACATAGTCTTGAACTGCGTGCAAAGCGGACAAAAAATCGTTAATTTAGTAGTTTGTATAAAAGTAGTTGAGAACTATTTTAAATAATACATGCCATTTAGTAACTAACATAGGTAACGATGGTTTTATTTCAGTTTGGTTCTTTATCTGATTATTTTGTTTGTTCAGTGACGTGCCATGCGAGCTGTGTGAGCAGTTGGTGAAGCACTTGCGTGACGTCATGGTCGCCAACACTACCGAAATTGAGTTCTACAGAGTACTGAAAGGTAAAAAAGATCTAAAACATATTTTTTCAAGATATACCTAAATAGATTTGGTAACTAAATTGAAGACTTTTAACAAAAACAACGTATCAATGGGATTTTTTTTCTGTAGACTCTGACTCTGGTTTACACTTCGTCGCAAACTGCATATCTATTAATATAGTCAACGCCATCTATTTTTTACAAACATCAAACTTAACATAATTTTTACAGGTCTCTGCAAACAGACTGGTAACTTCAAGGACGAATGCCTTCACCTAGCTGAGCAGTACTATCCTATCATCTACAAATACTTGGTCGAGGAACTTAAGGCCAATGAACTCTGCGCCATGATTGGTGTCTGCGGGAACCTAACGCAAGACGTGCCCATCGCTCCTCTAGTACCGGGAGAAATTGCTGTTAAAGCCAAACTTATTGGTGGATATGATATGGATAAGAAACAGAAAACTGATCAGGTAAGGATTAGTTTAATGTGTTCTTTGTTTACAATACAACTGTTGTTAAAAATAAGTTTGTACAAGCTTAAATTTCATTTCATCTGTCCCGATGTTTGTGTGCCTGTAATAGAATTTCTTTTTTTGAAAACAACAGACTACAATAGTGTGTTCCACGTGGACCACGCAAATCTAGTTGATTCGATCGCTCTGATTGGCCTGCTCGAATAAACCAACCAATCAGAAGGTTAAACGCGGTAACACTTCGATCTCGTTCATCGTAAAACAAATTCCTACTAAGCAATGATAAAACATTGGCGCCGCCCATGGGCCCACACCGACTACTTGTAACTTCTCTAGAGATTCTCGACTGACGTCATCGGCCTTATGGAATTTTTTCATCAACAGCCTATAAATACCCACTGCTGAGCAAAGCCTCTTCTCACAAGGAGAAGGTTAGAGCATTAATCACCACGCTTGCTCAATGCGGGTTGGCGATTACAAACTTATAATTAGAAAGTATAAGCCCAGGTTTCATCACGATCTTTTCCTTCACCGTTTATCAGTGGTGTCTAGATAATATTAGAAAGTACATAATATAACTCGGAAAAAGTCACATTGGTACTTGCCGTTGGTAGGTTTCGAACTTGTACCCTCATGAATTCTCTCAGGTTGATGTGTTTAACTGCACAAAACCTAGCTTTAAAGCCCAAGTTAAAAATATTATAATTGATAAAGGCAAATAGCAAGCAACTTTGTTCCATTCACCATAAAGCATTTACTATGTTAATTCAAATTTTAATTAAATTAATATTATTATCTCCCTTTCATAACAAGTAGTATATTTAACTTTCAATTCTCATATATTAAAACTTTATTTTTAAATATTGTTTAAAGTCCGTTCGCATGGTAAATACAAATTAAGTTAAGCAGGGAAACCTATTATTAGCCTTACTAAACTGTAATATCTTTATTTTGTATTATATCATATGTATCGCTGTTGGTTTTCTAAATAAATAAAATGAATGGAATTTTTTAATTTACATCATCTTTTTTCTGTGTTCCCCAGCTGGCCCGCGTCCCAATAAGCAAGCAGACCAACGTGCGCGTGCTGGACAGTACGAGCGCGGGCCCGCTGCCCATCGAGCGCATGTTTGTGTCCGTGCCGCAGCCGCAGGGCAAGGCGGCGTGCTCGTTCTGCCAGTACTTCCTGCACTACCTGCAGGTCGAGATCAGCGACACTAGGACCGAGGTATGTATTTAAAAATATACACAAGTACTATATCAAAATTACATAACGATTTCGAACATTTTTGATTTATTAACTTTTTAATGCACCCAAAATTAAGGACTTAATGTCATATGGCATTTTCTCCCAGTCAACCTTTGGGTTAAATAGAGAATCCGCGAAAATAGGCTTGTGTAATTCAGTAAAATAAAAAAATAACTAACAGTCATTATAAAACTAAAATATTAAAAAAATCAAAATTCATCGCATTTAAATTAAAATATCATTTACTTACATTTTACCAATAAAATGTATTTTTAACACGCTTTTGTTTAATAAAACATGGCAACATCAGTATTTTTGTCAGTGCCAAAATGTTTCGTAAAATAATTATAGCTTCGTAGCCAATAGGAACTGTGTACAATAGATTATACACTACCATCTGACACGTAGACAGAGTTACCTGGTAGTAATACATTTTAAAAAGGTTTAATTTGGTCTTATTTTACCTTTGTGTACAGGACGAGATCTTCCAAGCAGTGGACAAGGCATGCGACAAGTTGCCTCACTCAGTGAACGACGAGTGCAAGCAGTTCGTCACTCAGTACGGACCCGCCGTCGTCGCTCTGCTCGTGCAGAGAATCGACCCTGCTACCGTTAGTATACTCAATATTACATTACAGAAAACTTAGTGTAACATATGTAATTGAGAGTTGTGCTGAGTCTCGGTGTCATTAATGAAAATTGTAAAAATCTGAGGTCGATTGGAATATAAAATCGACCTCAAACAACATGTCTAATTTTTTTGATGATACTAAGCTTTTCAGTTTCATGGTGTCTAATTCTAAGATTATGTTACCAACTGTCATTTTTCAAAAAAGTAATTAGAGAAATTTAGTTTGCCGTGTCACAGACAATGTTACACAAAAGTATTTTTTTTAATCTGTATGTCAAACCTGATTCGTCGACTCGAAATAAATTTGCGACCACTATAAAAACAAGGTGAACTAATAGACGAAACATTAAACTACTTAAGTTAACGTCCTGGAAAGGGTTAAAATATTATATTCATAAGTATCTTGACCCCGAAACGATAATAATAATTTTTAAATAATTATTTTTAATCTAACATCCACTTGACACCTAATACTTATCTGCATCCAATTTGCAGTCCCTGTATCAGGATCTTTTGTTCGTTCAAACCTTGTTCCATTAATAAACTAAATAAAAAATTATTCTTGTTATCTTTCCAGATTTGCCCAGCTCTGGGTATCTGCCCACAAGTGGGTGAGGTCCGTCGCGTGGACATTAACTCCGACAAGTCCAACTGTCCTCTGTGCTTGTTCGCGGTGGAACAACTCGAGACTATGCTCAAGAATAACCGCACAGAGGTAAGTTGCATTCATTTCAATTTGGTACTGAGAGGATAGTATTGTACTTATGTTGAAAGTAGACATTATCTATGATATTTAATTTGATTTCAATATAAAGGCAGCCTTTCTTAACGACTGTTTACGACTACAAGTTCCATTTAGCCATTGATATGATCGCATGACTTCTTCATTAAAGTCATAAATGTTTCATATTTTACATTTCTAGTTTTATCTTAGGATAGATATAAACAGAATAATTCTCTTATAAACTACGTTTAGAAAATCGACTTCAACCGATGGTTGGTTGATTAATATACTAAAACCTTTTCCTGAGTGTAACAACCTCTTTTCTGAAAACCGCATCAAAATTGGTTCAAGTAATCGGGAGACAATCGCGCACAAACATATATGTATACATACATACAGGTTAAACTAAGAACCTCTTTTCTTTGAAGTCGGTTAAATATAATATCTCAATTAATCATTTTCCTACAGCAAAGCATCCGCACCGCCCTGGACAATCTATGCACGCATCTATCCACGAAGCTGCGCACAGAATGCGTTGACTTCGTAGACACGTACGCACCGCAGCTGATAGAGATGTTGGTCGCCAACATGGACGCGCAAGAGATCTGTGTATTCCTCAAACTCTGCAAAGATGAGGTCAAGGATCCGTTGAAGATCACCCAGAGTTCCATTGACAAGTTCCATGAGAAGCCTCAACTGATGGCTGATAGGAATAATTATAGAGGACGGTCTCTGTTGCCCTCTACCATGCTCGTCAGTGCACACAAGGATCATGATATCGGTAAGTTTTTTTTATTATATGTCTTTAGTACGATAAAGCTTCCACTGCAAAAACTTAAGCACATTAGTTTTACTGCTGCCTGACTGCCTCGTTAGCCGATTGGTCGCAAGTGCGACTCGGTAGTCGCACTTGACAAGGGGTTCGATTCCCGAGTCGGGCAAAATATTACTCGGTTTAAAAAAAATCTCAGTCTGGAATCGTGCCCTGTATATGGCAATAGACTCACCCCTTATTACATGGGACTCATAACATAAATAGTGAAAAGTGGGTGTTACTTCTGTGTGCTCCTCTGCCTACCCCTTCGGGGATAAAAGGCGTGATGTTATGTATGTATGTGTGTGTATTCGTTTTAACTCTTTAAATATCTATAATAAGGGTTTTTGAAATAAACTGTGCCTCGAGATGACTTGAAAACAATTTGACCTATTGTAAAGTACCTATTCAAACTAAAAAATTCACGAAAATTCGATTCAGCACAGAAACACTTAATCTTAAATGTTGAGACCACCTAATAATCACATTTTTTGTACTGAAACTAGTATAAAATAACATTTTCATTGTTACTTTTGCAGAAACGAACGAAATCTTCGACAACACGGTCAACGGCCGTGAAGTACGTCCGCCAATGAAACAGAAGACTGTCTGCATCATCTGCGAGTTTGTGCTCAAGGAGATCGATGACCAGATCAAGGACAAACATAATGAGGTATACACTCTGTCATATTGTCATTTCATAAATAAATTAATTTGACTTATAACTTAACTTGCTTAAATTCGCATTGAAACCGTTTTCGATTGTATAACAAAATCGAATAATTGGCTAATTATTGAAGGAGGTTAAATCTTACCGCGTGATCCGCCTGTTCAGGATTCCACATTCTTTTCGGTGACATGCATGACTACACTGCAATTTCTAAGCCGGCCAAGAGTGGTGATTATAGCCCCGTTCCTCTTGAATTATATTCTTCAGCACGTCTTACTACGTCTACTAATAAGTTGATTAATCTGTTGAGATTAGCGATCTTGAACGCAAGCCAACCGACGAATATATATATTCTACTAGCTGTTGACTTCATCCGCGTAGAATATGAGTTTTAGGACATAACTTCTATTTGTTTTAATTTTCCAAAATAACAATAGCCTATGTCACTTCTTAGTTAGTACATCATTTACCTGCCAGTTAAAGACCCGTCAAAATTGGTGCAGCTATTTCAAAAATTAGCCATGTATATTCATGTAGTAAGCGGTTATTTCAATATTAAAAACAGACACTCCAATTTTATTTATCTGTATAGATTGTAATTTTCAAAATTGTGATACTTGTTCCACAGGATGAAGTAAAGCACGTAATTGAGAATGTATGCAAGCGTATGCCAAAGAACATCCGCAGCGAATGCGAGCAGTTTGTAGACAAGTACGCCGACATGGTGATCAGTCTGCTGGCGCAGGAGCTCGACCCTGAACAGGTCTGCGAGGAACTCAAACTCTGCGACAGACCCAGCATTGTTGCTGCTAAAGGTAATTGTTACTTTCATACTTCTATGTTTAGAGTCTCTTGTTAGTTGGCAAAACGAAGTAACAGTTTGCTTATTCTCGCAAATCATATTTTCTTCCTTTACTTAGGTCCCTTTTCACCAAGCTCTGTAAAAACTCAGTTACACGTAACCTAAGTTTAAAGTAACCTAAGTTCTGTGTTTTCTTTACTGAGTTCCGTGTAAACTAGTTTCTGTTTGTAGCGGTGAAATGTAAAATGAAGGTGTAACTTCGTTTAAACGCTTTAAATTCGATTAGACGCTTTAAATCAGTTTTGTTAGGTGTAATCGTGATCAGTTTCGTTGGTGAAAAGGGACCTTAATGTGACGTGAAAGGATTAAACCGGTTAAAGAATGCAATGATATGTTGCCACGTTGCCCCATCTAATTCAGTCTCAGTGCTTAGTAATCAAATTTGTACTCACTCGATCGATGTTTGCCGTTTAGATTAAGAACTTTGACATTGCATGTATACGACATTGATGAAGTAATTGTTATAATTTGTAAAACTATGTTATGTGTATTTGCAGAGGAGATCCTAGACTGCGCAGTATGTGAGGCAGTCGTGATGGCAGTTCGCAAAGTGCTCAGCAACGATAAAGTAGACCGTAACATTGTGCACATCGTGGAGAAATCCTGCGAATTATTACCCGCCAAATACAATGAAAGGGTGAGTTGAATTTCCATACATAATTACATATTTTGCGTATAGGTAGGCATTCTCTACAAGTCGACCTTTGGATAATGCAAAGACAAACCTCTAAGGTATAAAGAACGTCGCGGAGAACCTAACGGGTTACCGGGGCTCCGGCTCGAAGTGCAGGAGAAGGAACGGGGTGGTTTTTAGTCAGTAAGAGTCTGACACTCCCTCCCGCTTCAACCAGGCGGGAGCAGTCATTCGATTAATTTCCCCCCTTAAAAAAAAAACTCTTAAGTTATAAGGAACAAGCAAGAAATATTTTAAGTTAAATCATTTACTCTCTGATTATATCTCTAATTGACCCAATCAGAGCAAAATCTTAAACAAATGGTGCTTCTTTTTTATAGAAAATGATTAAAACATATGTAGTTTATTTATAATGCCTTCGATATTATAACGTCGACGTTCTATAGAATATAAAATGTTACTAAACAAGTTTCATACAATTTTATCTTAAAGCTGATCATCAAACTGTGCCACTCCACTTTACCCTTCATGTGCGCGACCTAAATACCTCCCGATAAGCTTTATAATGTAAATTAACAAGTGACCTACATTACTCCCCTCTTTTTTTTACTTTACAATAATCGAGCCATTGCCAATATACGCATAAAGATGATGGTTTAAGCTTAGCATTAAATCATGTAAATATTGTTGTTTTAATATTTACTTAAACATTACTGATGTTAAGTTGGTGCATTGTATTGCTTAACAAAACGAATTAAAATTAAAAGAGGAGATAAAATTAACAAAATGTGGTTACATATCTAATACTGAACTTCTACTTCTTAAAATGGCGTGATGTTATGGAGAGTGAAGAATCTTGACATGATGATTTGGGTCCTAAAATTACGTATAAAATTACTTAACCCAAAGTATATTGGGAAGTAATTACTTAAAAAAAACACTTTTGTTACTTTACTTACTTTTTAGTTTATCAAGTTATACAAGAAAGTATATTCCATCCTATTTCATCCAACAGTGTCACTCCATGATGGAGATCTACGGTGACAGTGTGATCCACCTAATTGAAGAGTTCGGCACGAAGGGAGTGTGCCAGAAGATCGGGCTCTGCTCATCCTCAGACGCTGCATACGTGCACATGTACCGGGAGAAGAGAAACTAAATGTGTAAGTATTATACTTTAAGTTAAATATCACGTTGGATTTTGACGATGAATCATCATCATCAATCGAAAAATGGTGGCTTAGGAATTACAGTTAGGTCACTAGCAAATGAACTAAATGTGTATTTAATTTTTGGCTGACAATAATAATAATAAATAAGAAGATTAATCTCTTATACTAAAAATATATCCTATTTTTTTAAACGTGCACTATAGCCGGCTACCCAGACCCTGCGCTACCCGGTGGTGACTGACTGCGCAAATTTGTTTTAATGAAATTATTTCTTATTTATTCTAAACTAGCGACCCGCCCCGGTTTCAATGGGTGCCGTATGCGTGTATTATACACATAAACGTTCCTTAAACTGTCAAACACCCTGAGGACACCCGTGACCGCAACCTATTGTTCTTTAATTGTGTCTATAATGACGGTACTCAAAGAGTTAAGAATCACTTTATCTATTGTGTGAACCGAATTATACTATGTATTGATAAAAAATCATTCGTCATATCTTTAAAAGTTGAGTATTTTTACTTTATTTATTAAACTCTCGTTCTGTTTCAGATGCCGCCCTCTACAGCGGTGTTATGCCGATATTCGTAATCTCCTACATTTAGTGTTACTTAAGTCATGATTCTTTTCTACCAAATCCATTTAGTGTTAAGTTTGATTCAATATAAAACAAAATATGTTGTGACTATTTTGTGGTTAGATAGTTTAGTGTTTTCAAAGTTAAGAGAATTTAAAAATTTATAAATAAAAATAGAATGTATTTTTGTATAAAAAAAGGGACGCGGAGAAGTGTACTTATTGCGTAGTAAATAGTCACAATAGAGTTTTGTTTCGTGTCTATGTTGCTTCGTAATCTCGTTTAGATAGCATGTAAAGAAAAATATTTATTCATAAATGGACTATTGAACAATAACATCAATCCTGGTGCGATTCTAAACGATGTTTTGAAGTAAACATGTTTTTAAGTGTATGTTTAGGTTTTTTGTAAGTTTAGTAATTCTTGATTTGTAATCATCATGGATAACCAATACAATAACGATCGCTATCATCATCTATTATTTGCAATGGTATTGTAACATTGTAGTTCACACGCTAGCCTGTGATAGCTCATTTGTAAACTGTTTCTATAAATAAAGTTGGGAAAAGTAAATGTGTTTTATATTAAACAGGATTTTTATTGTATTCTTCTACTCCCTCGTTCTGCTCGACTTCGACGATTTTCTGCCTCGTTGCCCGAGTGGTTGCAAGTGCGACTGCCGGGCAAGGGGTCTCAGGTTCGATTCCCGCGTCGCGCAAAGAATTATTGGGATTTTATAAAAAATCTCAGTAGTAGCACGGAGTCTGGAATTGTGCCCGGTATATGGCAATAGGCTCACCTCCTATTACATGGGACTCATAACATAAATAATGATAAAAACATGTTCATATAAACTCTTCAGCTTTTTTATAATATAATTTTGCTTTATTATAATACAATAAAAGTATTTTTTCATAATCGTGTTATAAACGCCGTATGACTGCCTCGTTGGCCGAGTGGTCGCAATTGCGACTGCCGGGTAAGGGGTCTCGGGTTCGATTCCCGGGTCGGGCAAAGTATTACTGGGTTTTTAAAAAAATCTCAGTAGTAGCACGGAGTCTGGAACTGTGCCCGGTATATGGCAATAGGCTCACCCCCTATTACATGGGACTCATAACATAAATAGTGAAAAGTGGGTGTTACATTGTACAGTGGTATAATGTGCACCTCTGCCTACCCCTTCGAGGATAAAAGGCGTGATGTTATGTATGTAAACGCCGTATGAAAAGAAAATGTCCGACACTCTGAATAGATACAGGAAAAGATTTTTGAAGCAAAACTATAGTTTATTATTTATGAAAACAATTTAATTTTAAACAATCAGTAGACATACATACATACATGATACATATATAACGTCATACTGTCTCCCATGGGGGTAGGCAGAGACTATGGAACGCTGACAATCACTAGACATATCGAAAATTAATTATCCGTTTTATGCTGCCTAAAACAGGCTATTTGACAAGTGATTCTTCAGAAGGTTTAGGAGTATGGCACCTTGCGTCTTCCCTCTGCTCTGGAGGCTGTGAAGCTAACTCTGGCTCATTAGGGTTGTGTCTCCGAAGATGATCAGCTAGCCATAGTATGGGCTCTGCTGGACGTTCGTGAGCCAATGCCGTCAAAGCTGGGAGCAACGTAGGAGTTAAATGTCTCTGTATGTAGTCGTTTACTTGCCAATGGCGGATGACTGGGCCTGCAATCACTGTGAAATAAAGGTAGAAAATATTAGTGTAATTTGCTTTAATCAATAGATCTTGGTAGTACACTGCTAGACCATGAACCACTTCTATATAAGAGGGTTTACATTAGCAAATACTGCACGCCTGAGTGCCAAGCACGAATAAATTTTATTATCGCATTCGTAACGTAATAGTATCGAGCGCGTTCGTCACTCGGATTGGTTGGTTAACTGGAGTCGGCCAATCAGAGCGCCGCACGTCGAATGCGATACATATTCGTGTTTGGTACACAGGTATCCGGGTTGGAGAATCTGTTTAAAAGCAAGTCAATCTGAGAGTACTGCTGCATTCTCTGTTAACTGTGTTGGTTAGTCGGCTTTTACACGGCTAAACTATTGTTTTTTTCTTCCAAACGATATCCATGAATTGTGGGCAGGCTTCCCGCTAGGTGAATCGACGACATCGCCGCGACCGCGCACGCTGCTAATAAGGAAGAACCCCTCTGTGGTTCGAAACTAGTAGAGCGTTTCTCAGTATATTCACGTCGGTAACCCGCGATTTTTAGTTAATGTAGTATGTCTCACGATAGTTATTATAAAGACATTGTGAGTGACAGAGCCAGTGGATGCAGGTAGCGAGGTGACGTTCGATATGGATCCCTAAGAGAGAGGCCTTTGTGCAGCAGTAGACGTTTTCCGGCTGTTGATGGTGATGATGACGATGATGTTTAGTAATTCATTTATGAGATCATTATAAAAGTTACTAACTGTTAGGAAAGAAGAAATGAATCTCTCGCAGGGACTCGGCAAGGTTATCACTGCCGTGTAACCCGTTGAAGTAGTCTCCATACTTAGTCCGGCGGCCATAGCATGCCCGCAAGCTATCCGGCCAGTAGGCTTGCGCTTCTAGTACCCTGCCAGAAGATTATAATATAATAATATGTATTTAAAGCATTTCAGATAGCCAGTTAATGTTAGCAGAGTAGTCGCAACTGCTGTGTCGGGTTTAATTTTCGCGTCAAGTAAAGTATAATTGACTTTTTCAGTTTTTGCAGTTTCAGTAAGAAGTCAAAAGACTTCTGTGTGTAATGGACAGGTTGCAATGGACTTCCTTCCTATTATATATAGAACTAGTAACAAAACTAGTAGGTACAAACATATATCATACCTAGCTAGATGTAGACCGCTGCCACCTCTTCGGAGATTATTAAAAGTTATTATCAATTCAAAGATTCTTAACAGATAGATACATAATCAAGAGACTATGATACCAACATGGCCGGTCCCATCAGCGTCTTCCACTTCTGTATGCCGTTCTTGGCCGTGATGACGAGTGCGATGATAGGCCCGCTTGACATGTGAGCCACTAGGTGAGGAAAATGATGGGAGCCATAGTGACCCTTGTACAGCTCCGCTGCTTGTTCCGGGGTCAACCGAACGTGGCGTTTCTGGGGACAAAGGAAGTACGGTTATTAAGTTGATAGTTTTTAATTTTCGATAAAATTTTACACAGTTTATTTTTTTTATGATATAAGCCGGTAAACGAGCCGACGGATCACCTGATAGTAAGCAATCGGCGTCGCTCATGGACACCTGGAACACCAGAGGTGTTACAAGTGGGTTACCGGCCTTTTCGGAATAGGAATTTGAGGATTGTTGGGGATTCAGGCATTGGGGGGAATTGGGCCTCCGGTAACTTCACTCACACGACGAACCACAACGCAAGCGCTGTTATACGTCGGCCTTCTGTGAGGCCATGGTATCACTCCGGTCAAGGCTCATTCCCAACTTGTTATTATGAGTTTAGATACCTATAGCAAGTATAGCAAGGAGATCTATTAGATTCTCCGTGGTAAATTTAGTATACGTTAACAAAAGATCTGAATCCAAGTAATGTTACCTAAAGCTAAATACATAGTTAAATGTTGTATAGTACCTACAATAAGTATGACAATCAATTTTAATATCCGTCCTAACGAGCTGCGACGACAAAAGTGTCGTCACATTATATTAAGTCAACAAGATAGATATCTGCTTATCACTAATTTATGGTTTAAGACAATAAAATTCACAATATCTTTCTTAATGGTCCATAAATATGATATAACGTATATCATAGCCAAACAGTTTTATTTGATGAGATATTTTTGCGTAACATTAAGATTATGAACTTTTCCGTAGACACCGTAGCGCGTGGCAACACCTCTACGTCAGCGTAGCGTCGTAGCGTTGCCACGCAAAGCTTATCTTCAAGCAGCAGGGGTGCGATTGAGGAAGATGAGATAATAATATTAATAAATAAAATAGATATTCCTTTTTATTATGATTGATAGCAATTTAGGCATATTGGGTATCTTACACCTTGGACTTCAATTGTGGTTGACCACAATTTTATATCATTGATTGTCTTGTTAATTTATTAACAAAATTGTATTCTGTACCCATTTTGGTTTTTCGAAAAGATGGTCCTGTTTAATATTAAAACGAATAGGTATTTCAGCTTATTTGAAACACAAATAGTAGATAGCGTCTCGCTGCAAACGGAAATCAACCTTATGACATTGTAATTGTAGGGACTCGATGTTATTTCTTGTATAACTTTTATAAGATTTCTTACAGTATGCAAAAACCGTAGTAAAAAGGGAATACCTACTTAGGGTATTCATTATTTGAAAACGTATGCAAATAGCAATTACTATTACGTGTGATGGTGAAAAGAGTTCCCCTTAAATGTCAATGGGGAGTCGTAATTAGTTTTTTTCTACGGCCTCCATAGATACCATCGGTGACCGACACGAGAGCTAGGGCTCGAAGATCTGCCACAGATGTAGGGTTGCCGAGTGTAAAGTTCTTAATTTTGGTTGGGCATAATTATTTTTATTTTTTATATGCTTTTGCATGTATTATCTACCAACTTGGTCACTACGTATACATAATTTTAGTTTTCTTGATGAATTCAAATAAAGGATTACATTATTAAATCGAGAAAAAAAAGTCACATTGCACAAACACTTCTCGACAAAACTGTTTTAAACGCTTCATAAACGAAATATTTCATACATCGTAAAGTTAATGAATATCAATAATCACAAATAAGAATACAAAGAATACAGTAATGAAAAAATAGCAAGTTACCTAGATTTTTACAAAATCCCATAAAATAAAACAGTTGCCTACAAAATGTCTCAAAACTCTTAACTGAGCCATCCCTATTATCTAACAAGAGGTTGCATGTGACGTGGAATAATGAAGCAACCCTCTTCAACTCCGCTAATGTCGATATGAGTTTTGCATATCACACACACAACCCTTGCAGTGCCCGCGGCACGCGACTAGTTTCGGACAAAAGGGGATAAATCTACCCCGTACCTCGTAAGACTGCAAAATATGAATCTCAATGAATATAACATTGTATCTGCGAAATGTTTTGCTGTTGGGCTGAGCAACCGGCTGCTGCACAACTTGTAGCGGGTTCGATTTCCGCACTATTTCTGGTCTGGGTGTATGTTAACTTGTATATTTGTAATCGCACCCTGCAATCGCATCGCAACCATGTATTTTATAAAAAAATAATATTGAAAAGAAAATGTGCATTTAATGAAAAGTTTTCAATCGGTATGAAAAAGACAATAATATTAATGTCTTTCCCACAAATAAAATTTTTATTAAAGAAACAATTTGCAATATTCGAATTATCTGGGCTAAGCTACGCTTTTAAAAATAATGATGTCACTATCTATTTACTCACGGCAGTTTAAAAATCGAATTATGTATTTAAAAGAAAAATAAAATATACACAGCAAAATATATTTTGCGATCATTCCTCACACATTTCAACCCAACACTAGCAAATCGAGTTACAAATCAAGAGTCCCTACTTCAAATCTCGCGAATAAATTCAATTTGAGTTTTGCATGTACTTACGAACACACAGACAACAACCCTTACAACGCCGGGCACGCGTCGAGTTCGGACACAAGGGGATGGTCACTCTCCTCTATTGTAATTGACGTGCTCTGTTATTTTATTATTTCTGCTCGTGCATATTTTAGGGTTACAATAAAAGACACTACCAAAGAAAATCAATATTTTATAACAATTATCTCTTGGACACAGTTGTTTGAATATTTTATAAACAAGAGAACAGGAGAAAATATTTGTTAAGAAAAGTTAAGAAAAATAACTTTTTATGGGATAAGAAGTAAACGAGCTGACGTATTTCCCCTGATTTTTTTAAGGGGGAAATTCATCGAATGATTTCTCCCGCCTGGGTGAGGAGGGAGGTAGTGTCAGACTCTTACTGACTAAAAACCACCCAGTTCCTACTCCTGCCCTTCGAGCCGGGGCCCGGCAACCCATTATTAAGTCCTCCGTGGCTCCGTATTGGCATCAGCCTTGGGCCCCATCCGTGATGGTCTGAAGGCTCTTTAAGGCGCGCGCGGAACGCGACGCGCCGTACACTTTGGTCTGGTTCTGGCCGGACGGCGAGCTACCCATGCTCGCCGTCTGAAGGCCCGTGATATTTCACTTGATGGTAAGCAATCTGCGAACACTTCAACCTATCTACATATTTTTTTAAATAGCTTGGTACGTTTATGATGTTACTTAGCTAAACATTCATCTTTTTCTTTTATGTTATGTAGGAGACTTCTTTCACTACAGATATTAATAGATTCTGATTTCATTTTACCTCTATAGAGTCCTTTGATGTTTAAACATGAGATAATCTTTACAGGAACAAAGTGACTACATGCAGAATATAACGGACAAAATAAGACCAACCGCAAACTGTCGACTCCAACTTTTAAATCTTCACGACTCCAACTTTTTATTTTATTAATCTTTTTTGTTAGAAACTCTGTTTTATATTATGAAAGATACTTAAAGGACGGGTACAGTTAGTCAGTCTTAGGATAACATTGCTCTTATTGCTTCGAGTAATAAAATAGAAAAGACTTTTTAGCACTCCAATAAATTATAGATACAAAGGAATGGATAGGTTCAAAGGCAAAATAAAACACTACCCAACTAAAACTCTTACTACGATCTCGTTGACTGGATTTTGGTGTTACATTGTTCTCGCACAATCGAACTAACAAAATTATGTAACTAGAGAATTGTATTCTGAACCTGATTGAAAAAGACTAACCCGTGGAGTTTCTTGCTCGTTTTTCTCCATAGAAATCACCTTGGAATGAGCAAATAACTTTACTTTAATTTTTTTGTTGACGTTTAAAAGTGCCTTTCTGGTCTAATTGAAATAAATTATTTTGACTATGACTTTAACTACGACGAATCTTATATCTTATACTATTATATAAAGCGGAAGAGTTTGTTTCTTTGTTTGTTGGTTTGAACGTGCTAATCACCGTAACTACAAGTCTCATTTGAACAATTCTTTTTGTGTTGGATAACGCATTTATCGAGGATGGCTATAGGCTATAAAACATCACGCTACGACCAATAGGAGCTGAGCAGAGCGTGTGAAACCGCGCAGAAGTAGCTAGTCAGTTATAACTGGCTAAAGTTGAAATAACTGTTTTATTTAGAAATCTATATTTTCGTTTAACGTGAATCAGAGTTTTGGGTTGCGACAAAATAAATATTTTCCTTCAAACAGTCGGTAGTCTGTGCGCTCCCATAATGAGGCTCCCCCACCTCTGCCGGTGGGTGTCGTGTTGTACCCATAAATTTATGGGGATGGGCAGCGCTCTGACGTGGCCTATTAATAACATTTTACCGATCATGTTGTCTAGTTGCCCTAGATAATTATTACCTTGGGAGCTAAGCTTGCTTGTCATTGATTATAATTTAATGTTAAAGCTATAGTTAGTTAAGTTTTTTAAAGTTGGTTATGACCATGCAATAATGGTCCCTCAAAATAAATCGGTTCTTTGACAATTAATGATAAATGTAAAAACAATTCCTGACACGGCTATTAAACGTACGTAAATTTTTAAAATGCTGCCTTGCCCAACGAGGGAAATCAACTTGAGACACTTTAGATCCTAGTCAACGAGACAGTCAAAATCTTTTTTATAATAAAAGTGTGGGACACATACATTTTATCACATTAACTTGCCCTTAACATTTTTTTTAAGGGGGGAAAATCATCGAATGACTGCTCCCGCCTGGGTGAGGCGGAAGGGAGTGTCAGACTCTTACTGACTAAAAACCACCCCGTTCCTTCTCCTGCACGTCGAGCCGGAGCCCCGGTTACCCGTTAGGTTCTCCGTGACAACTTGAGACCCTTGAGATCCTAGGCAACGAGACAGTCAAAATTGTTTTTATAATAAACATGAGATACATACATTTTATCACATTAATTTGCCCTTAACATTAAACCTACATTATTTTGTTTATTTACCTTACATCTAACTATACAAATAAATAAAATGGGAGTGTCTGTTTGTAACATTAAAATAATAGTTTATTACTATATACATATTAATATACATACGATAGACATAGCAAAATTATAATTATTTTTTAAAAATTTTCTCTATCTGTCTGACTGTTTGTACTGGCTAATCTCTGGAATGGCTAGACCGAGGTTAACGAGACTTTTATTGGCAGGTAGCTGATGTACTAAGCAATAACATAGTCTACTTTTATTTTGGAAAATTGAAGTCTAAAAAATAGTTATGTCATAAAATTAATATTCTACGCGGACGAAGTCGCATACAACAGTTAGTATAAAATAAATATTGTGCTGTCATTAGGTACAGTAACAAGTGCGTGTGACATTTCGTTTCATATTTTCGTCGAAATGGAGCGCTTGTGACTAATGGCAAGATAAAACTCCAATCGTTAAACGTATTATAGATAATATAATAACAATACAGAGTATTGATTTGTATATTTTTGTGTCTACATTCTGAAAAGTTTGGAATAAAGTTTATTGTTTATCTCGAAGATAATGTTACAGATAATAAAAGATTTTATATTAATAATCTTTGGAACTTTCTTGCTCATACAGCTGAACTGTGAAATGATCTGTTGTCGGCGGTTATCCGAACCGACACGACCTTCAAACCTTCAAGAAAAGAGCGTATTCCTTTTTAAAAGGCCGTCAACGCCTGCCATGCGCTTTTGCGGGTATCGCTGATTGCTTACCATCAGGTGATCCGTCAGCTCATTTGCCTCATTTTCACAATTATGCATGTGACCCAACTTACCATTACCTACCAATTCTTACTTCAGTTTGTACTTAGGTAAGGTAATGCTAAGATTTCATATTATGTACAAGACTGTACAATTAGGCAAAGCACTATTAGGTTTTTTTAAAATTCAGTAGAAACACGAAATCTGGAATTGTACCCGGTATATGGCAATAGCTCCACCTCCTATTAGATGGGACTCATAACACAAATAGTGAAAAGTGGGTGTTATATTATACAGTGCCATTAAGTACCGCAATGAGCACCTCTGTCTGCCCCTTCGGGGATAAAAGGCGTGATGCTATGTTATAGTACACTCACTCTGAAGTACTTAGTCATACCATAATTCCTACAAACGTTCAGAGTCTAAATATTCAAAGAATATAACATTACAATACTAACCGCAAGAATAGAGAATCCATTATTGATAATTGTATTCTCTATATCTTCAGCGTCTTCATAAGCCTCGGGTTTGATGATGGCCAGGGTACGTTCAGAGTACGCATGGTACTCCGCATCGGAATCTGAAGAATCTATAGACATAACAATAGTTTTTTCCTCTATAATAATTATCTTTATCTTTCTATGTTATTGTATAAAAAATTCAACACAATGACAGGTCATTCGACATTATAATAGAAGGTCGTGTCAAGAGGTCGGGTTTCCAACTTACCAGCTTAACTTGATCCTTCACAAAGCGCTGCTTACTACGACAAATGTATATTTGTTTGTAATCTTTAGTATGTTGTTTAATTCCGTGTTAAGCCGCGTATCAAGATATTTTGGTATAAGCTTTAATTTAAAATGTTTATGGTTCATAAATGTAATAAGGTTGTGTACATGCTTTTGGTGTTTGTTTTTATTTGTGTAGAACAAGTGTAGACGAGGATTGATTATATGATTATGCTTATAAAATGTAGGTAAACTCTATAAAGCAAATTTCCACATGCTAAATATTATTATTTTTTACTACCTAATTATTTTTTCAAACAATAATAAATCTGTAATGAACATGTACTTATTCATGTAATGTTCATGTTCATTAGCAGTATAACATAACACACAAATCACAAAGTTTGACTATACCAAGAAATATTTAAGGCAAACAAACAATGAAATCAATTGCATATCGATAAACAGGCATTCTGAGATAGTAAATGGGAAAACTGGCGTTTTCCGAGGACGCCACCCCGGGGGGGAGCGAGGGGGCAGGGAGGCAACGCGGGGAAGACGGCGGGGCTGCGTGCGGCGCCGAGGGGGGAGTGGAGGGCCGCCGGGTGTAGGGGCCGCGCGCCGCCGGGCCCCAGTGCCCCCCGGACGCAGCGGCGGAGCGACGCCTCCCCGACGCCTGCACCCGCGACATGCGACGTTGACCCTGTCTCCCGCCACCCGAGAACCACCGCCGTATACATGGACAACTCCTGCCTCCTTGACCTCCTCATCAGGTGCTTCGCCATGACCGAGCCCGAGGACCTCAACTTCACGGCGTTCACCGACCTATGTCGGTTGTGCTCCCTGAAGAGCGGGCCCAGACTCCATATCTTCGATAAGGAGTCGGAACAACGGCAGATCCTGTTCAAGCTCAGGACCTGCCTGCCCACTATGGTGAGTAAGCTCTTTGTACTACCGCATCCACTTAAACTTGTGTCCTTGACAACCTAGTGACGTGTATTATAGAAATGTGATAATTACATACTTGTTACATAAATAACAGTTAATTTAATGACGTAATTCACGGTGCTGTGGTGAAGTGCAACGTAAACAGTGGCTTTGTAGTTAGAAGTGCAATAATGCTGCTACGTAGACGTAGCGGGCGGCCGTAGCTTCGTAGACGCCTGCGCGCTACGATGCGCTACGAACCGAACACAACAAGGAAAACCGAAATACCACAATACCTGTTGATTATTTTTTTGGGAATAAGGAAATTTTCCGAAAATAAGTTTGAGTAAAAAAGTAAACAAAAATGTATCGTAACTATTGACATATATTTGGCGGGTTAATGAATAATCGTATCTATTTACACGGCTACGATGACAATCATTAAGATATGTATGTTTAATTAGTTCTTGTTTTGTATAAAGACTTCCATACTACTATTTAAATACGTAATTTATCTTTATAATAATACTACAGATATAATATTTACCGTTAAAGGAACCAAATCACATTGTGTGTACTATGAACAACCTGAAAGACATTGAAAGAAAATATTCTCTGAACTAAGTTACAAAACTTTTCAATTCGATAGCTTACATTAATAAAATAATTGATCGATATTTTTACTTTAATAATGCATTCGTAAGACCGCCTTGCTCCGATCATTGACCCCACACAATCGTAGCTTACCGGCTCGAACCTCATAAGTAGGTCAGACCACCGGCTTATTGCGAATCCCCTATATCATAGAGAAAATAAGAGATTACAAGAGATGGTCATAATAGCTGTCACGTGTCAAGCGTAATCGGTAATCCCTTATTGTATTTATGACTTTTAAGGTGTTGGCCGTAGGGGTCAAAGTTGAATGACACACCGACCTAATAAATTGTGATCCCTGATCCAGCTCAATGAACGATTTTATTTGCTTCATTATTATGTAATAATGATATGTGTATGATGTAAGGTTTTTTTTACAAATACGCACTTTTGAGTTATCGATATCATAAACATATTATATTAGTCATCATATTTTTGAAATATCTATTAGCTCATGTTGTTCAAAACACGTTTTTATTGACGGCGCTTAACTTCCCCTGTACTTATACTCTATAGTTTTCTATACTCTTTGCGCTTTACTGAGTTGTCACTTAATTTAGTGTCCTGAACAAACAAACTGTACTATCATGGTATCATGTTAGGAAAATACTGCACTTATTTATTTTTATTTTTCCTAACGATATTTTCTTTAGTAAACTTAAAAGTTATCTTATACTCTTATACTATTATATAAAGCGGAAGAGTTTGTTTTTTTGTTAGTTTGTTTGAACGCACTAATCTCCGTAATTACAGGTCTGATTTGAATAATTCTTTTTGTGTTGGATAGTGCATATATCGAAGATGTCTATAGGCTATAAAACATCACGCTACGACTAATAAGAGCTGAGCAGAGCGTGTGAAACCGGGCCGAAGTAGCTAGTTTTCTATATATATTAAATAGATAGATTAAATTCCTATATTAAATAGATAACAACTTAATAATTAATTCGTGTACTATTTTCACATAAAACCAGCAGATATCGAAGGACGACTTTTTGCCGAAGAAGATATGTGAGCGCTGCGTCACTCGCCTGGAACAGCTGTACGAGTGGCGCCAGAGTTGTCTCAGCACTGATTCCGTGCTTAGAAACTACGCGGAGTCCATGAAGATCGTCACTTCTACTATCAACTTCCAGGTCAGTGATAATGAAAGTAATATATCTTGTTCTTCGGAGGACAAAGGATATACACATATTGCTATGTCAAATATGTAAGTCCAGTTAATATTAACATGGAATAAACCTCAGCGGTCCACTTGTGACCACTTGATCAACATCAAAATTAGACGGTATTTTCAATTTTGACTTAAAACTAACTCACTTCTTAAAATATTATCAAAGTAACACAACTAAACCCCCAACTATCATTTTGTAACATATTGTGTTAAAAATATAAAAATTCTCAGTAGTAGCACGAAGTCTGGAGTTGTGCTCGGTGTATGGCAATAGGCTCAGCACCTATTACATGGGACTCATGATATAAATAGTGAAAAGTGGGTGTTACATTGTACAGTGGCATTAAGTGCCGTAATGTACACCTCTGCCTACCCCTTCGGGAATAAAAGGCGTGAAGTTATGTAAGAAATTATATATGTTTTTAAAAACTACAACCTTATTCTACTATTTAATTTATATACCAAAAGATATGATGCCTGAATTCTTTAAAATAATGATTTACTAGCTACAGACAAATAAAACAGTATGAACTTAGTCAATTGTGATCGCTTCGTTGTCCGCATTCGCGTTAACGATGAGTAATAACGCTCCCATTTCATAGAAATGGACAGTGTCTCATTGGGAGTAATAAATATGTATGACATACTAGTATACAGTATTCATAGGTAGGTACTACAAGCGTTTTCTCATATGCTGGATCGATTTTTATTACATATACGCGTGTCGCTTGTTTGTTTATCGTACTACTAACGGTATTAACCATATGGGTTCTTACAAAAAAATATTTTTTTATTTAAATTGTGACTCCACGGTACAGCCACAAAGATAGATTTCGCGTATCCACCCATTGCACTTAGACTCAGGACAATAATTTGTTAATGACAAAGAATTCAATATCTAAGATCCTAACTAGATCGACAACCGTGCAGTGTAGAATTAAAAGTTGAACTTTTTTATGGAATAGGAGGCAAACGAGCAGACGGATCACCTGATGGTAAGCGATCAGCGCCGCCCATGGACACATACTTTAGATTAGAGCCCTTGCTATATGCTGAAAACGATCATTGCTTCTCTAGTTACACATATTTATAACATTTCGCTCAAAAATGTACCTTAAAAACCAAATAACTAATAAAAAATTACTAGATTACTGTCGGAATACTGAAATGCTACACAATTTTAAGTCGCGCTTAAGTATAGTTCTGTCACCACTAATTCTTTGTAAAATGACAGAGATTGCACGATATTTAAGCACCACATAGAATTGAGTAACGTTTCAGTATTACGGCATTAGACATTATAATATTATACCTGCCGAATTTTCAAAGCACAACAAGAACAGTCTATTGTTACTTTGATAAATTTAATATTCTGTCCAGCCATTATCTGCTTTAGATCTTTGTATAAAATTCTGACTACGGCACAAAATCCGCTAATCTTTCCTTTGATCCGTCTGTAGTAAAACGAGTCAACATGGTAGGACAAAATAGATGACACACAACAGACAAGGGTAGAATGGGGATGTTCGATAAAAGATAATTTAATAAAAATAAACAAGTACATTTTTACCTATTTAGGTAATTAACAAAATCAGTTTCATTTGACATACCAATCCACGTAGCTAGACAGATTATACTTAAAGTATTTTATTATTAACTTACTGCCGAGTAATAATAATAAGTTTTGCGAAATTTCAAATATAAATTTTTGATTCCTTACGAAACATTCGTACAATAATTTCTCCAACTTTCGCATCAAATCTAAAGCAAGCCAATCGTTTATGCCCCCTGCTCGAACGAGGCAGTCAACACATATAGCCTTAATAACACCAAAAACAAATAACCTTCTCCTTAACATTCAAAAGTCTCTTACTATTAAAAAAGGGCAGACTATTTATAAATTAAAGCCTCTATATCTACAAATAGACAGCTGTAGATATTTTCCGCTACAAGCCGGGAGATGCAGCGTGGGACGCCCCCTCAGCTAGACAACCTGGTGAAGGTCGTGGGGAGCAGCGCCCTTGAACCGAATCATAACACAGACCTCTTCCTCTTTCCATGGAAAATTCTGTGGGAGTGATAAGTAATTTCAGTACATGGTGGAGTCATGGAGATTTGCGTATAGGTGTTGTTTTTTAACCAACTTCAAAAAAGACCGTATATGTGTTTTTGTTTCTTTTTATTGTTGTATTGTTCCAGATTGCTAGAAAGGTACTCGTATAAAAGATTTATGAACGAATTTCGAATTTGAGGAATTATGTTCTTCGGTTTGTTCTAATGAAACTCTACAGAATGATCTTATGTAATACTAGCTTCTGCCAGCGGCTTCGCCCGCGATCCCAGGGGTAAAATGCTTATGTATCACTTCAGACCATAATCTACCTCTGTTCCGAATTTCATTCCGGTCCCTTCAGTCGGTTTAATATGACTGAGTAACAAACATACACATAAACTCAAATGTTTTCATTTATAATATCGAGTCAAGCTAAAATCAACCATTGGCCTTTCAGTTACAGCGTAAAGTCTATGAATGAGTATTGTAAACGTTAGAATAGACAAATACAATCAGAAATCACCGAATTGCTAAGCTATCGGGAGTTTCACGTGTTATTGTGAGTCAACCATAAAAGATAGACATATGCTGTCGAGGAATATTTTTTTTATAATTTTAAGGAGAATATTTCCGTCATACATGATTTCTATGTAGCTTTAACCTATAAGCCTGCAAACGCGACGGAAGCTTAAAAAATGGAATAACTTCTCCCGTTTTCCCAAGATTTCCCTTCACTGCTCTGCTCCTATTGATCGTAGCGTAATGAAAAGTATACTATAACCTACCCAAGAGTATGAAGAATAATTGTGCCAAATTTCGTTAAAATCCGTCGAGTAGTTTTTGTTTCCATAACGAACATACAGACAGACAGACAGACAGACAAAAATTTTACTGATTGCATTTTTGGCATCAGTAGCGATCCCTAACCACCCCTTGATAGTTATTTTTTAAATATATTTTATGTACAGAATTGACCTCTCTACAGATTTATTATAAGTATAGATGAGTCTAGGTACAGTTTGCAAAGAGGTGTAGTTTCGACATCGAAAAAAATACAAGACAGTTTTATAACAACTTGTCTTTAATATCCATTTCATACAACGCATAAATTAGGTACATACATACATATACGTATATAAATAACTCATCCCTGTCTCCTATGGAGATAGGCAAAGACGCCAATTACTACGATTATTGCCACATACCGGGCACAATTCCAGACTCCGTGCTACTACTGAGAATTTTTGTAAAACCCAGTAGTACTTTGCCCGACCCGGGAATCGAACCCGAGACCCCTTGCCCGGCAGTCGCACTTGCGACCATTCGGCAAACGAGGATTGCATTCATTCCACTTTGTCCAAGTGATAGCAAACGGCTGACCAAAGTGTCTCAGGTTCGATTTCAGAGTAAAGAATTTTACCTAAGCTACCATTTGCTATTCAAAAACATATGCTTTACGTTGATAAAAAAAATCTTTTCAAATAAATAACGGTTCAGAAATAAACGACCGCCATTTTTAAAATTAGTAACAGCATCCAACGTTCCAAATACAAATCGTCACTCTCACTTTCAAAATGGCGGGTGTATTATTCAATAACGAAGAGTGACTATCGACATTCATCTCTATTTTCACGTAAAAGGTCAGGCTATAATCGGCTATGTAGGGATTTCCAAGGCCACAGCCTGTTGGGTACAGAGAAAGTCTATTTGAAAAATGTACGAAAATAAATCGTGTGGGTTATCGGTTTACCTTCACGTTTTAGGGACAATATTCGCTAATCACCGTAATTAAGATCGGGTTTTATTTAATCTAGTTGTCTTTTGATTATAGAGGCTTTTTCTTCCTAAGCTTGGTGTTACCTGTCAGGGTTCGTGGCCTTATAAAGCTCTTTTAGGTTCCCAGCGTTTGCAGCCTGTTGAGCGTGATTAGCAATACCGTCAACCCACTGTCTCCTATCTTTACGGGTGCTACGATAGATTTCTTTCCACTTCTGACGGTACTGCGTGTTCAGATCGGCTCTTATAGCGTCATCCTGGGCCTCGAGCAATCTCAGGTGAAGCCTTCTTCTGTCTTCAAACAGACTCAAAGTCAAAGCATTTATTTCAATTAAACCATAGTTTGGTACTTTTGAAACGTCAACAAATACAAAATAAATAATAGTCTGTCAGACTCCATGTCATTATATGAAATGTTGATATTTAATATTTGATAATTAATAAATTTATGTTTCTAATGAGAAACGTAAATTTCTGACCCTCGGAAAAACATCTCCAAATCATAATTATAAACATTTGCATCGAACATGATCATCTCAGTCAGCCAAAATAGGTTTACTACTAAACAAAGGTTTGAACCTTGAGAGAGAAGGATTTGTCATAATCTTTGTGATTGGCAGATGGCTTGAACACAGTGAAACCATAAATGCTACCTTTCCTCCGTATCCAGGTTCTTAAAGCTACTCGCAATATTAGGAACCAGTTATGCTATACACTTCTAACAGGATGGCATTCAGAAGTCTACAAATACAAATACAAATATTACTTATTTCGTCAATGTAGGTATGTTACAATAGATGGTAGATAATATTATGGTAGTGCGTCACATTGTGTTTGTACAGACATACAAAATTTTTATAGTGTGTTCTTAATCTAGTGTGTTTACAGACAATAATCTTCTCTGTCTACATTATGGATCATAATACACCTAATTACAAAATACTAAAGCTGCCTACCACACAAAGTATTAGGGCGCATATCTAAGCAGCAAGTCTATATTTAAGCCCGTGGCTATAAAAATCGATATATCTTTTATGCAGTATTACTCAGTGAATCACTTCTTTGCTAAGTAATAAATGATACCACGCTACCTACTTATAAGTAAAAGAATTTCTCGGTAGCTTTTCTAAGTA